CTTTTATCGATTATATTCAAATTTTGTCTGTCACAATTAATTAATTATTCTTTTCAATAGTTTGTCGAAGAATATCATTCGATTTGCCATCGTTTCTTGACGGCTCTGCAAACAAAAAATACTGATTTCTGCGTTACGTATTACGATTACCTTGACTATACACTCGGAATAATATCTATATAAAGAATAGTTAAAAGAGACGGATTCTCTACGGATTAAACTCTGTAGATAAAACCAGATGCATCGTAAGAGAAAGAGAGAGAAAAAGTGCATATTACATAATTTGGAATGGGCCTGATCGCGAAGGTCGTGTGGTGAACGCGTAAGGAATAACGACAAATTGATGAACGTAAAGCGCGGGAGCATCGTGAGAGCAAGAGGCAAATTATCTACATTGTACGAGATGGTCTTACCCAACTAACCATCTGCGCGATGGGCCATGGCCGCAAAATCCAAGGGCCATGGAAAGTAGACGCGAGTATGACACATGTGTAGATATGTAGAAACGTTATGAAACGGATCAATAATAGTGCGTTCCAAAGTAATATTTTCCTCAATTTTCCGTGTTAATGTATAATATTAATCATTACACGTCACTATGGTTATGTGATTCTTACAAAGTATATTCTTATACATGATTTTAATAATTTATGTCCATTTAGCATTTGCGTCAATTAAATCGTCATACGCTATAAGCGGAATATTTCCGTATTAGAACTTGGAACGAATGTAACTCTTATAATTAGTGCAACAATATCATACAAATGTAATTGTTGTGTTAATTATTTGTTCAAAGCTCTAATATATGGAAGACATTTGTCTTTCATCTTGTTATTCTCTTTTATATATTTAAATATTTAAAATATATTATTTATATCTTTAACACATTTTGTGCCGGACCAATTTTTAATAACTTGACAACCACGTCGCGTAGATTATAACCGATGATCCACAATATTGCTGTTTTTTTTTTGCGTTAGTTTTATTTATTAAATAAACACGTATCATATTTCATAATGATTAAAAAGATTACAAAAATTATTATTATTATTATAAAGAAAATCTAATCTACTAATTACATCATATATCATAATTATCCACGCACGTGTGACAACAAAAATTATTTTATTTACGTTTCTTTTTAATGATATTCAAAATATCAAACAATCTGTGTTTGTATTGTGTAATTCTTATCGACAGTATCAGTATCATTATATTGTCATTGTGTAAATTATACAGGTATATATATAATAAAAAAACTGCAATATAAATGATGAAATATATAAATGATAACGAAATCATTGAATCCTGAAACACGTACGATTGAAAAGTTCAGGCAATAGGAACAGAGAATAACAGATTTCAATCAGAAATAAAAAACGGTTTTTGATAAATTGCAATTTGTTATTTCTTGATTTTCTTATTGTATAGTAAAATTTTAAATATTTGATAATATTAACAATTTTATTACGCTATTTGATATAATTATTATTCCTAATGATTTTTCATAAGACTCCTTATCAGAGACACATCACGGTCATCGCTTCGCTGAAGTAATTTTCGCAAAATTAATTTTAGTCATGTCTATCTAGTCAAATTTTAACTATTCTGTGTCTTTTCATTATGTATTAAGCTTTATAGAGCTACAGAATACAATACAGAATACAGCTAGTACTGCACTAAACGGAAAGTTCAGTGTATATCACTGATGAACGGCATGAAACGTGTTAATTTAATATATAACTTTATCTGTACACATTTTGATAAGATACGTTATAAAATGAAAATTTTCCATTCTAAAACTTTATTTAATCATATCTTTAATGAAGCTAATACGTTAAATTAACAGTAAAAAGAAACAAAGAATGAAACAAAAAATTCCAAGAGAGAGAGATTATTAGAGATTAATATAAAAATCCTAAGATTAGATTAATATAAAATTATATGTATGTATACATAACAATGGAATATTGTCCAATAATATGTATATTTGACCAATACCGACAATTTTACCGCGATAATATATATACTTATCAAAGATAATCCTTATTAAAGATGTATCATCGTCATATATCGCTTCGATTATACCTATCGCAAAACTAATTTTAGCCATATTTACCTATATATCAAGTTTATCATATTTACCTATATAGTCAGGTTTAAACTATTCAGTTTGGAATTTGTTGCGTTAGAATCAATTTTTCATGTATAAATTTAATTTCATTTGTAATGATACTGTATATCTCGATGAACGAACCAAGAGAAAGTCCAGTCCGGATTGAACGTACCTCGGTGGCAACGTAATGTTGACGAAAGCAAAATGCGCGAAACGGTAACGTGATAAGATACAAGGACCGAAAGAAGCATTCCTCTTGAGTCCTGGCACTGTACAATTATAAGCAACTCACTTGATCATGTTGTACCATATAATTTTTCTTTTTTCGTAGAAATAATCCCTTTCTTCGCACATCAGGATGCGCGTCGCGAGCGACGACCACCTTAACCGAGTTCAAACGTATTTATGAAGACAATGCCTAGCTAAAACAGATAACAGACAATATTGGTTTCCTTTCCCCTTGCATGTAATATAGGGAGGCAATATTGACACGAATAAGATATACAATAAAACTTCACATGCGATCAAGATAACATATATAGAAAAAATTTTATACATATACATATAAAATTTTTTCTTGAAATATTTGTTATAATAATGTACTTGATTTGTATGAATACTTTCAAAATTTTTTAGAAACTTTTTTTCGACCGTCAATGATTTTTATAAAATTGATGGTCGAAGAAAGTTTTTAAAAATTTTGAAAAAATTTATACGAATCAGGCACGTTATAATAAACATTTATTCTTTTTTAACTTTTTTCCGTAAACTTTTTAGTTTCAAAATTAAAAAATATTTTAGATAAAGTAAGTTTTCACACAATAAAAAAATCGATATCTACAAAAAATCATTCATATTATAGTTATAATTCTTTTCAAAAAGCATTTTAAGCTTAAAAAGTCTAGTTTAAAATGTTTATTTGCTTATTTTTAGAGCCCGACCGAAATTTCGGTTTCGGTTTCGATCAGTTTCGGTCAAAAATCAGGGTTTTATATTAACAGAATTAGATATATTATAATAAAATCTTATTTTTTAAAGAGTACATAAATTTGTCATGATTTCTAAATTATACGGTCTCTGTAGAATTAATCCAAAAATGTCGATTTCGACTCCAGCCGACAAAAATGTGACTCTATTAGTTTTTTTTTTTTTTTTTTTTTGTAAAACTTATCTAAGTTTCGGTTTCGATTTCGTTTTCGGCTGAAATTGAGTGACAACCGAATATTCGTTTTCGGTTTCAGCCGGAGATCAAAATGTGGTTTCGGTCGGACTCTATTTCGTCCGATGTGGTCTCAGATATACTTTAAAAAATAATAGAAATATTAAAAAATATCCATTTTCAATTTTGCAATTTAGGAACAAAATATTGTAGTCAACATTGAAACGTCAGTTTGAAGCCCTATTTTTCTTCTTTAAAATGCATTTTTTAAATTTTCTCTACGATTTTTTTTACTGAGATATTTAAATTTTCGTAAAATGCAAGCGTTCCTGAATTTATGAACAGTATACTAATGTATATACTCTGATTCTTTTATATATTTCTTATTTATATATGTCACGTTTTATGCGTTATTTTTTTACCTTTTCCTCGTTCTTACCATTTGTGCTGCAATTAAACCCTCGCGCATATTGTTCGATAAGAATACTTTGTTCAATATGTAATATACATATATAATGAGAAAGAATGAGTTTTTATCTCTTTGATAACAAGTTGAAATAGGTATGATGTTAACAGTCCTAGAAAGTTGTTTTTTTTTTTAATATTTTCTCCTTTTCTTTTTGAAATGATATTTACTTAAAATATATTTATTCAACATCGCCAAGTATATTGCATTTGTTATTAGCTGACACTTCGTGTGTTTTTCTTTTTCTGTAATATAAAGAAAAAAAAATAAAATTGAAGTGAAAACGCGTGAAGAAAATGCATGTTTCATATAATATAATAAAGTGTGTTTGAGTTGTGTGTTTAAAATCCCCAAAATTTATTGCACTTAACACTAAAACTATCGACACAATAATTATTTCTATCTATTTCTACCGAACCGGTCTTTAAGTAAAAGTTATATTTTTTATAATTGCAGGTCAGTGTGGCTACCGGGAAAAAATGTTATATATACGGACATATTATATATATATACAATATAATATATACAATATAATAAAATGTCAACTTTATATATATATATATATATATAATTTATATATTCCAGTAAACACAATGTTACATGTAACGCACATGTGAAACATTTTTTTTCATTTTAATTATAAACAAGAACAGAAAATGGAAAATAAATAATAGTCGTACAACTAATAACTAAAACACGCGAGTATAAAATTTAAAAATGATCATTCGATCGGCCGTGGTAGGTTTAGTGTTAAAATGAGATAAATATATATTCAAACGTTAAAATGAGAACGCGAAGATACTGCAAATACAAAAAGTACAAACAACGCAACCTTATTTTGTATACAAATTCGAAAACGAGAAAGAAATACCCTATATATAAGTACCTTTTATTTAGTGACAATAAATATTTAGTCGACATAAATATCGTTCTATCTTTTTTTGCATTCCATGAGTAACAAAGACAAAACAGTACTCGTGTCACTAAATGGAAAGCACCCCCGTAATTATCCGACTTGACGTCAATCGCTTCGAAACGCGTCTCACTTCACCCAGTATGGCATCAGTGACGGAGTGACGGAGCGACCAGTGACGTCAATGCGCGTCGCGCCAAAAAGAGACTCGATGCGCCCTCTATGGGAACGCGGCGGAAGCAGAGCACTCGCCGATGAAACATGGCGCATGTTTTGTTTGTGTGCGCGAGGAGGATGGTTACGCGCGGAGCGTACGGCGGCGGCTGTAAGGTTTAGGGTTTGATATTTCGCGGCCGCGAAAGGGTGAGAGGGAAGCGAGGGATCGCATGAATCCGGACGCGAAGCGGCGCGCGACGCGATGAACGCGACGAGCCTGTATGTGTCGACGTGTCGACTGGTGCTGCAGGCGGATTCCGAGGATCCCAATTCCTGGACGGATCTCTACAGATTGGTACCGTATCTGCGGCAGAGCCTCAGTTGCACCGTCTGCTCGAATCTGCTGATCGAACCGCACACGCCGACCGAGACCAACTGTCAGCATCATGTATGCCGTGGCTGTCGCGGTGGCCGCAAGAAGTTGAAGCCGTCGTGTGGCTGGTGCAAGGACTATGACAAATACATAGAGAACGTGCAACTGCGGATATTGTTGCAGTGTTACAAGAAGCTGTGCGAGTACCTAACCAGTACCGGGATCTACCGCACTCTGTTGCTCACTGTTACGTCCGCGAACAACGCTACCACCAATGGTGCACCGCCCACTATTGATGCTACCGTCAGTCTGATGGAGATTATCCAGGAAGGTGCAGGGTTCAAGGATGAGTTCAAGAGCAACGCCGGCCTGTCCAAGTCTGCATACAGTATCCTACCATGCGTTTATACCAGTACTACCTCCACTCAGACGCAGGCGAATAATATCCAAACCACTGAAGCAATATCCCAGAACATACCTGGTACGTGCAACAAAAACTGTTCCCTTGAAATAAGTATCATTACTAGATCTTGCAAATATCCAAATACAATCATGTTAATAGTAAATCATAATTCATAACAGTACAAATATTTATTAAACAAGCGATGAATAATTTCCATTATATCTTTGCTGTTAAATTAGAATCGCCAACGATTCGTACAGTGTCGAATGGATCCTCCATATATTCCGTGATGTACGCTGGATCTGGTAACAAAATTACTATAAAACGGAAAGCGGCAGCTATAGAGGACACAGAAAAAACGGGACAACAGGATACAGATGGAAATCAGCACGGCACTGTAGGAGGGGTAAAATGCATTCCGTCTTCCCACCTTAAATATGGGACCTCTTCTGAGAAAAAATCTTCAAAGAGCAGCAAAGTAATTTCAATAGATATTCGGTTAATCTTACACCTTACAGGATTTATATTGCACTATAATCTTTATTTAAATGCTTAAAGATGTTCATCCTTCGTTAACACTTCTTGTAAGGTACAATAATTTTTCCGACTTACATTTATTAACAATTATAGTTGAGCTTAATTAACCTGTGCATATTTATTGCTCTTATTTTTATGCTAATACTAATTTTTATACAAGTCTTTACTTATGTTCACCTAGGTCCCATAAAAAAAGATTAATGCAGATGTTTATTGTTTGTCTTTGAAAAAAAATATTTGTTTTAGTTTTTTTTTAATTTTGAGCTTACCTCTGCATTGATCTGTAATACTTAATTATATTGATATTTCCTTGTGAATATCAACAATAACATAATTTACTTTGTTGTAAACAGTCGTCAGGCAGTTTTAAAAAGCCAAGGTCAAGTTCTACTAGAAGTAAAAGAAAAGGATGCAGATGCGGTAATGCCACTGCAATACCTGGGAAACTTACGTGTTGTGGTCAAAGATGTCCTTGTTATGTCGAAAGTAAACCTTGCGTGGAGTGTAGATGTAGAGGTTGCAGAAATCCTCATACAGCAGATGGATTAAAGGTATCGTTTCTACTTGATTTAAATTCATTATATATTCGAGATTCTATCTTGAGGAGTCTTATATAATTCTTCCATATTTTAGATCCGTCCACATATACCTGAACTTCATAATTTACAATTACAACTGTCCACTTCTTTGGATTGCGACGCGCTAAGTGGAGATCCTCTAGGATCTGTGCCGCAATGCCTCTCGACGTCTCCTACAACGATACAAGTGTTAAATGTATATTCTACTCCGAGACTAGACATTGACAATGTACCACAGAATTTACCTGCTGCCTTGTTAGTGGGTGAAGATGCTATGGTAAGTACTGAAAGTGAAGCGGAAGATAGTGATATACAAATCGATGTGTGACAAAGTATTTAAATGGACATCGCGGAAGGCCGTACCGCATCAGTGATTATCAAAGTGTGACGAATGCGCGTCTCAATGGAGAAAGAACGCGTCATGTAAATAGCTCAATTAGAATCATTAAAAGGAATAATTACAAGAATCAAAAACATAATTACGAATTTACAAGGATAAATTAATTTAGAGAAATATATCGTATATAAAAAAAATGATAATTTATGTATGGTATGTATGGTTTACCATTCAAATATTTGTAAATATTTCAATATAAATATAAAAAATGCAAATATTTAATTGGATGCTTAATCATGGCGAGTCAATTTTGCCTATAAAATTAAAATTACTTATGATTTAGCATCTATTATTTTGTTATATATAATATGTTATATGCGTTAGCGCTTTTAAACTTATGTGAGCGCTCGTAATCTGAATATTGCTCGGTTAATTGTATAGTATAAAAGGCAAGTTTGATAGAACAAAAATATTTCTTCCATATTGATTAACTGTATTATATGATAATTTTAATAATTTTAATAATGGATGAATGTGTTTTATTTATATCTTGTGTACATATAATGCCGATGGCACAATTTTATATATTTTGAATACACATATGTGAGAATATATTTTTGGTTAATATACATTCTGAACGATATTTATCTGCTCATTCAACGATTTGAATTTATAATAAATTGTTAAGGCCACAAATAAACGAATATGAACCTATGAGAATTAATTGGGCTGTTTAAAAAAGCGAGTTAAATTTACATATTCAAAAGTCGATGCACTTAATATTTACGCGTACAAAAATATCTCGTTCAACTTGCCAGTTGTACATACAATAACAAAAAGATCGTTATCTATTTTGCATACTGGTTTTTACAATCTCTAAGTATAAAATGCAGAGTTTGTGGAACAGCAATCTGTTAAATTATATTACAATTTAGGATTGCATCGAAATAATAATAAATACTCTTAAGTGAACCGCGTATACTAATAAAGAATCTAAATAATAAACGCGAAGAATAAGGAGGTAATCTGGATATCTATACGTAATACGGATTGTAAAAATTGTTTATGTTATTTTATAGCATAAGTCATAAATATATTTGGATAAAAATGAAATTTTTAGTTGCCTAAAGTTTGAAATTGGAAACGGTTTCAATAGCGTTACTATCAGGGTTGGATTTATCCGTAGACATCATAGACATTGGCCTAGAACAGAAATTTTTTACAAAACTGTTTTTAATGAAAAATAAATAGAATTTTATTATATCATAATTCAAAGAGAAAATTGTGTATATTTAATAGTATTTTTATTTATATAAATATTTTTTTAACTTTTTTTAAATTGAATATTCTTTTCTCGTCTAATATTAGCCACAATTTGGATTACGTCAATTAAAAAAAAGGAACGACATTTAAATAAGCTAACAAACTAGCGTATATATAGTTTCTCTCTTCAACAAAAATATATCTTTTCCTTTTAATATACACGTATACATAACTACACTCAGGGCCGTAGAGAGAAAAACCGGGCCCGAGAGAAGAAAATTACGGGCCCCTATTTCGCG